ACATGTGGCTACTTAACCCACAACGCCTACTGCTGACCTTACACAACAACAGGGATGGGGAACCTGTGGCCCCCTAGGTCCTCAAGTGCGGCCCTTTGACTGAATCCAACCAACTGTGAAGTTCCCCACCCCCGCACTAGACCATGCTTCAGCTTAGCATCTCATCCAGCCATCCAGTCAAGCCATCTCGCCATCTATCTACTGCCATGCACATAGCCCCTCACCCCTACCCCTAGCACTCCTTCCACCTCACCAAAACAAACTCTCTTTCCCAGTCAATTCTCCCCTTGTCATCCCCACGAGAGCGTAAGCTCCTTAAGGGCAAGCACTGTCTCTTTTCAAAATATATGTGACCCAGCTCTTAGCTTAGTGCATAGTAAGCATTTAATAAATGCTTATTCATTCACTTCCTCTAAATGAATTTTTGTTTGATCCCCACAGTTGTTAATCCTCTTTCCTTATTCACTACCTTGAAGTAAAGGATACTGTTTAAATAAAAAAAAAAGGCCTAGACTCATGGCAAAAGCAAAAGATGGCAGCCTTGATGCCCTTGCCTTCCACTGGTGTGTTCAAGGAAGACTCCCAGCATATTGAGTGGACCCCCTGTAGTGAGTCACATAGCATAGCTAGGCATGTTGATTTAAAGTCTACATTGGCAGAGGAAATATCCACATGAATGAGACCACTTTACTTTTTGCCTCAGTTCCTCACCTGCAAAATGATTTGGCAGCTATGTGGTGTGGTCAGTAGAGTGCTTGATGTGGAATTGGGAAAATCGGAGTTCAAATCCTGACTCAGATACTTGCTAGTTGTGTGGCCCTGGGTATGTCACTAAATGTTTTTTAGCCTCAGTTTCCATTTTGGAAAATGGAGAGAACAGCACTTAACTTTGTTTACTTTAAAGCAGTATTAAAGTTGTTATTTTTAGCATTAGGAATTTACAACCTTGTAGACAGGTCCTTGCTGTCATGGACCTGTTCATAAATATATCAGTTTATAATCAAGTAGAGCTGATAAGGCATATACATACAGATAACTACGGGGATAAATAATGGCACCTGTCTCTGACAGGGTTGTTGTGAGGATAAAATGAGAATCTTTGTAGAGCACTTTGAAAACCTTAAAATCCAATAGACATGCTAGCTGCTATTAAAATTATTACTAAGTCACCTTCAAGGTCCTTTGCAACTCTAAATCTAGTCACAAGATCTGTGACTCAAGTGCCTACTATGTACCAGGCATAGTGATAGGCACTAGGAATACAAGGACAGAAGCGATAATCCCTGCCCTTGAGAAGCTGACATTCTACTGGAAGAAAAAAAAATCATGTTCATAAATAAGTAAATATAAAAGATGCAAAATAAATACATAGTAACTTTGGGGGTGGGAAGCACCAACAATCATGGAGATGGCTTTGTGTAGATGGTGGCACTTGAGTTGCCTGGGCCTTTCATGGAACTCTAAATTTTGAGAGGTAGAGGTAAGGAAAAAGAACATTACGGTTAATTAATTATATCAATATAAAGAGAATGGATTAGAAAGTGAAGAGACTGCAGGCAGGGAGACCAATTAGGAAGCAATTATAGTAGCACAGGCAAGGGGTGATGAGGCCTGAACTAGGGAACCAATTAAATTAAATTCAACATTTATTAAACCTTCACCACGTTCAAGACACTGTTCTAGTTTCTGAGAATACTGATAGAAAATGAGATAGTCTTTACCATTACGTAATTCACATACAACATGTACACTCACGTGTAAGTAAAAGGTAATTAGACAGATGTACTCATAGCTATACAAACAACAGACAAGCAGGACATAGAAGGGAGTCATGTCTCACTATTCAAAAGGAGGAGATAATATTCAGGGGGAAGCTTTGTTCCGCTCTACCTATCAGAAACTAACTAGAAGAAAAGTAAGGTGAAGACTGAGGAAAGGCTATTAGCTTAAACTGATAAGAGATTGGTACTTTCAGTAACAGTGATGGTGAGTCAGCAAGTTAGGATGACTTATTCTTGGGAGTTATAAGACAATAGTGTGAATATGGGAGGGTCCAGAGAAGTTTTGTTTGATATCTAGGCATGAGCCAGGAGACATTGCAGTTGGGGGGGTGGATGATCCCAAGGTTAATCTTCTGGAGGAGCCTAGAAGAGGTGGAAAGAAGACATAGGGGAGAGATATTAGTCTTAACAAAGAGGCAGATTTAGAAGGACTTCTTAAAGACTTGAGCAAAGGAAGAGAAGACAAGGAAGGTATAAAATGGCTTTGAGATGTGGAGTAAGGGATATCTCACAGAAGCCTTGTAAGTAGGAAGAGAAAGGAAAAAAGGGATGTGGGCTTGGTGGCAGAAGGGATTTAGGAGAGAAGAGAACATTTGGAACAGCTTTGATGAAAGCCTAATTGATAAAACATGAAAGAATAGAAGAATTGCCTTGTAGCAATGAGGGCCCAATTGAGATTAGAAAGCATGACTTTGTGGTACACCTAGTCATCACAAATTTCACAGCTTTCTTCCAAAGCATTTACTTTATTTCAACAACCATTAAGTGCCTACTAAGTATTATGCAGTGTGCTAGGGATACAAGGACAGGTACACATCCTCCAGTTGGCTCCTTCTTGGTCCCAGAGGTGGTTGACTCTGAACAAGGCTGGGTTGTTCCAAGTCTTTGTGGTAGTGTGGGAAAGGTGGAGCATGATGGGAGTTGCACAGATGTCAGTTGCAGCCCTCAGGGCTGTATAGTGAAGGGTTTCTTTTTTGTTTGTTTGTTTTTTTAATGATTACTCTTTAGATCTGGTCATTCAACCAGTTGTAAGTCAACCTAACTGCTGTCATTTAGATCACCTATATCTTCATCTTGTTCTAGATAGAAATAAAAGATACTTTATTAAATGCATTTTGAAATGTAGGTATGCCATATGCACCATCCCACCCACCCCTCAACCTGCCCCAATCTACTAGCCTACTGAACCTTCAAAAAAAAGTACTAGCATTATTCTAGCGTGACATGTTCTTGATGAAGGTGTGTTGGCTCAGTGATGACTGCCTATCTGTTAAAACATTAACAAAATAATGATACATCCTGGAAATCAAGCTCATCATCTCAATGTTTTATAGATTCTACTTCTTTCTCCCTTAAAATGAGATATTAACCTATCTCCAGTTTTGTGATACCTCTTCCATTTGCATGCTTCATGATTTTTCAGAGTACTGACAACAGTTCAGCAGTCACAATCACAAATTACTTCTGTCTAGCCTAGGAGATAATTTATTTAGATTTGGTGCCTTGCATTCATTGACGTCACCTTAATGCTCTTTAGGAGGTAGCTAAGTGGCTCAGTGGATAGAGTGCTGGGTCTGGAGTCAGGAAGAACTGAGTTCAAATATGGCCTCAGATACTTATTAGCTGTGTGACCCTGGGCAAGTCATTTAACCTCTGCTTGCCTTATTCCACTAGAAAAGGAAATGGCAAACCACTCCAGTATCTTTGCCAAGAAAACCCATGGACAGTATGGTCCATGGGGTCATGGAGAATTTGACACAACTGAACAACAATAACAGTACTTTTTACTTCACCCCTTACCTTGAATTTCAACTCCCTGGTAACCATTCAGTTGTAACCTTTCTAGTCTGAAGACAGCTAGTTTGACTCACATGTAAACACAGGATGATTCATTTTTTTTTTCCTAATGGTTCTTTGTTATTTCATACACTAGCCACATTTGCTCTGAAACAAATGACTGAGCCAAATAGACTAAGCATATTTCAAAATAGATGGTTTTGTATATGTATATGCCTCTGGTGGATGGCTTGTGACAGCTGGGAGACTAGTAGGTTAGACAGCTGTTTATTTGTTATGATTTCAGGGTTCTTGGTATCCTCAAAGTACTTCCCCAGTGGGCTGCCATGGAACTCATATTTCATTACATTCATACCTCTGTCCAATCAATCAATAAGCATTTATTAAGTTCTCACTATATGACAAGTACTGTGCTAAGTATTGGGGCAGCTAGGTGGTACAGTGGATAGAGCACTGGGCTTGGAATCAGGAAGACCCATGAGTTCAAATGCAGCCTCAAACACTTACTAACTATGTGATCCTGGGCAAGTCACTCAGCCCTGTTTGACTTATTTCCTCATCTGTAAAAGGAGCTGGAGAGGGAAATGGCAAACCACCGAAGTATCTTTGCTAAGAAAACCCCAAAACGGGGTCACAAAGAGTAGGACACGACTGAAATGACTGAACAAAAATTCTAAGTATTAGAAATAAAAAGAAAATTAAACAGTCCCTGCCTTCAAAGAGTTTTCATTCTCTTGGAGGAAAGGGGTGTGTGTGTGTGTGTGTGTGTGTATGTGTGTGTGTGTGTGTGTGTGTATACTTGTGTGTATGTATATATACATATGTATTTACAAATTATATTTTAAAAATATAAGAATTTTTACAGAAAAGGGAGAAGGTACTAGCTCCTGGGAGAATCAGGAAAGGCATCTGTAGAAGGTGGCCTGTTAGTTTTTCTGGCTTCATTTAAGACTCAGCTCAAATTCCCATCTACTGTAAGAGGGCATCTTTCCTGATTTTCCCAGTAACTAGTGCCTTCACTCCTGAGATGACCTGTTTGTTGCAGTCCTTTGTGATAGGCCCTAGGTTAAGTGCTGAGGAAGCAGATATGAAAATGAAAGCCTCCTACCCTCAAGGAGCTTCCATTCTATCAAACTGCAAAAAAATTCTATCAGATCCTCTGTTGAGAGCAGATTTTTATAGGGAAGAAAGAGGTGCCTGAATACTTTGTTGGGAGAGAAGTTCCACTGAGGAGGTAAAAGAATTTTAACAGGTAGATCTGAGGGCCTTACAGAAAAAGTTCTTTCTGCATCACTGTTTTGTGGGAAGCTATGGCACCCATTTCTCATGAAGGCCTATATCCATTTATACAGCAAAATAAGACCAGAAAGGAATTCCTCTTCACGCTCCTCAGTCATTCTCATTGTATTTTTCCCTCTTCAGATGCCTGAAGAACAGGCATTCTGTGTTTTGGTGAAGATTATGTATGACTATGGTTTGAGGGATCTCTACAAAAATAACTTCGAGGATCTTCACTGTAAATTCTATCAACTGGAACGGCTTATGCAGGTAAGATCAGAATCACTGCTTTTTAATCTATTGGTGAAGGGAATCTGACAAGCCATTACAGGGATATTCCAGAGTGAGTGAGGAAGTTCTGTTGGGTATTGTACAGATGTTAGAAATGAACATGAACCTTGCCTAATCTCTATATGAGTCTTAATACCCATAAGAAATTAAATTTCATTAAAGTAGTGCTTATTTTTTGAAATTTACTATGTCTAACACATTAAAGATTTTTATTTTAATAAAGTACATTTATTTGGGAGGCATTTTATAGAGTTGTTAGCTATCAGACTGCCACACTGTTGATGTGAAAAAATTAGGAGAGTTACAGAGAAAGTATTCAAAATGTTGTGATGTCTTCCCAAATTAACAAGTACACAGGCCAAATATAGGTCTAGAAGCAGGAAATGTTTTCAGTTTTTCCCACACAAGTCTCATGGTCCTATTCACTGTTAAAAATGAATGTCAAGTGAAACTCAAGAACACGGTCATTAAGAAATGGAGGGGGAAAAAACTGTAATAAATTTGGGTCTTTCTAAGCATTCAGGAAACGAGATATTTTGAGATTTCATTCTATCAGTTGTAATTTAAGGATCATTCAGCTGTTTTAAGTTTTTGTTTATAGAAAAAAAAAGTTCATGCTTTTGAAAGGTTTGTAACCTGGTGACAGAAAGCATTATCCTGATACATAAAGGGTTGATGTTCTTGAAATAATAGTAGATGTTTGTTGGCTCCATCTGATTTGGGTTGATTTTTGTATTTTTCTTCATGAGATGTAATTAGGAGAACATCATATTGGATGTAATTGCTTAATCCTCTGACCTCCCTAGCCTAGCTCATTATATATGGTGAATGAAGAATGAAAAATCCTAAAAGTGCCATGAAGTAACTTGTTCTCATCCATTAGCATTTTTAGTAATATGATCTATCTACAGGGTGATACCATTTGAAATGGGCCCCATTTAAAGTACTTGGAGGATGTATGTGTATTTGTGCATTTGTGATAGTTTTAAGGTAGTCACACTCTGTAACAGTTAGTGTTTTCCCAATGGTGTAATCATGGAAACTAGAGTAAGCATTACCCCTATATTTTGACCTTGGCTTTTCAGTAATGAAAATGGCTGTGTTAATGCCCTGTATTTTGCCTTCTGTGCTTTTGGGGATAAAACTTAACTTCCTCTTAGTACATGACTATTTGCTCATTTTCCTGGGAGAAGAAAAATGACTTTCTCATACAAGATCATTTTAGTCCCACACAACATACTTGAACAATTTAATTAGTTGTTTGGGTTTAGGATGTTACAGGTGCTATTATTGTAAAAGCAAAATAAAAATTTTTATGTGTTGTTGAAACTGTCTAGGTTCCAAAGAAGCCATTGGAATGATTGCGTAATCTGGAAGCTAGATGGATTGAGGCATAAAAAGTTAGAGCCAGGAAAATAAGATCATTCAATTCAACCTTTTCATTTTATAGATACGGAAATGGAAACACAATTTGGTTAAGTGTCTTGCTTAAATTTAAAAAAATTAGTTCATTCAAAAGACAGGACTAGAAATCAGATGACCTGACTCCAAACAAGGCTTTTTCTGCCTTGGTGGACTACTTCCTTTCTCTACAAATCCTCTTGATTATAGTTAGTCTTAAAGGAAGGAATACAATTTTTTCTTATATATATATAGGCATTGATGGGAGGGGGCTATCAAAATATGAATTGGAGTTATAGAAGTGGTCATTATCTTTATCTCCATGCTCTTTATCAAGCAGAAGTCTTGTTTTGCCAAAGGGTAGAGTTTTCTGTTGAACAAATGACATAAACTGGGGTGTTCATAGCATAATTTTGTTTATTTTATTCACTTGCTTGCCTGTTTATGTACTCCAGTGCTTGTCCTTATGTCACTGTTCTAATGTTTCCTGAAACAGTAAATCTTAGAAAGTGATTAAAGTGACAATAGAAATACTTATATAATGATCATGATCAATGGAGCCTCCATAATCTGTTCCAGCTGGAGCATACCCTGGGGAGCGTTTGTGGAGTTGTGTTAAACACTCCCGGACACTTTCAGGGATACACATGCCTGGGCCTGAAGGAGCTTCAAGGTTGACTTCTCCATCCATAGTCATTTAACCCTGACCACGTGTTCCTGGAAGTGACCCAGGGGAATTTAGTTCAACTCCATGCATGCTGCATGGGGTATGCTCTCACTAGAGTAGATCTGAAGGACTCCCCTGATTCCCCTTGTTGTATTCACACTTATTTTAATATTTTGAGGATCTGTGGTTACATCACTGTGTACCCTCCCTCTACTAATGCAAACCATTCGCTACCCTTCTATAACTTGACAAATGATCTTTGGAAATTGCAGTGGCCAAAAAATGCATTACTCTGCAACCAGCTTAGTGATAAATCTCCGTTATATTGACCTGACTGCCCTCGGACAACGGATACAGTTTCTTCCTGAACCTGTACTGTCTTGGAAATCTTCTTTCCAGATGGATAGAACCTTCTGGAGCTTGTGATTTACTGATGCAGTCTTTGAGAATACAGGGTCACCTCTACACCATTATGAGGCATTTGAGTTAGACTGTGGCTGAGGGATAATGGCTGTATTTGCCGTAAGATTCTAAATCAGCAATAATACAAACTTTTGGAGCTTTACTCCTTTCCCTCTTCATAATCTACCTTGTTTTCTTCTTATTTGTGTAAATGTAATATCCCTATAGGAGGCTGTGGGTTCTAAGAACAAGGATAATATTGCTTTTCATCTTGGCATTCCCATTGCCTAGCACAGCATTTTGTAATTAGTAGACTTGAAATAAATATTTGGTGACTTAAATTCTTCCTTCCTCTTTAAATTACAGGAACAATTACCAGACCTGCATAGCCACTTCTGTGCCCTGAACCTGGAGGCTCATATGTATGCATCACAATGGTTTCTCACTCTCTTCACTGCCAAGTTCCCTCTATGCATGGTCTTCCACATCATTGACTTACTGCTTTGTGAGGTACAGTGACTCTATCTTGGAAAGCTAAGCCAACCTAGAAAAATTCCACTTTGAAAATTTCACAGTGTTCTGTTTTCTCTCCTCTTGTTATTGACTTTAAGACAAATTCAGAAGAAGTGATAAGTTCACTATTTTGGAATATAGAACAGAAATCTCATTTCAGCTGTTGGATGGGTTCTTAAACTATAGTTGTGTTGCTACTGAACATTGTTATAAATTGCAGTGAGATAGGAATAGTGACTGGACCTGTGATTTTACTGGCATAGGAAGAAATTCCTAAATGAGGAAATTCTTTTTACCAGCACGTATTTGCCCCCCCCCCTTTTTTAAAAATCAATTTAAAGTCTTAGTTGCTTATTGCACTGATAGATTAAGTGTAGGTCACATGGCCAGTATATGTCAGAGGCAGTTCATGAACCCAGGTCTTCCTGTTCTCCAACAGGCCACCCTACAGTAATGGAATTAAACTAAGGTAATGTAGTTCATAAACTTAGGTAATGTAATTAAATAAACTATAAACTCAGGTAAAAATGGAAACCAATAACTAAAATAAAGTATACTATAAATTGTACTATACCATAGTATACTGTACTTATAAACATATTATCAGGTCAGGTAAAAATGGATACCAATAGATCAAATTAACTAATTTGATTAAAGAAAATGATGTCACAATAAACTTACACTGAACAATATTGTGTTAAATATTAAAGATGTCCAACATGAGCATTTTAAATATAATTTTTACATTACAAGAAGTATACACATACACACACACATATGTAATTGAATTACGAATTTCAAATTAGTGGCATCTAAATTAATGCAGTTTTACTACTGTTGTATGCTCAATCCATAGCTATTCAGGGTGTCCATGGATCTACCTGAGGTTTTTGATATATCATTGAAAGAGAAATAAGTAGGTGGCTATGTGGATTGTATTTGTTTTTTGCTGATTTGGTAGAAATACCTTTTCACTTAAGAGTAAAGTCTCTGTCATATTAAATACTATCATGTGTCTTAGGAAAAAAAGGATGTATCATTTCAGTTTCAAGTGGGGTGTATACTACAGGATATATAGTCAACATGCTATAGTATAGAGAGCTAGTCTTGGAGTTGGAAAGATCAGAGTTAAAATGGCTCTGTGACCCTGGGCAAGTCACTTAACTTCTCACTGTTTCAGGCAACTCAGACTTTAAGTTGTAGAGTAGGTGTTGATCTGTATTGATAGAAGAAGTTTCCTCACCAGGAGTTCCCTATGTCATTGAAATCATAAATCTGGACCCCCCCAAAAAAAGTTTGTACACATTGTTTTTTGGGGGGGGGGGCTGCAGTACATATATATTATTGATTTTTGGCCACAACAACTCTTGAAAATTACTTAGTATCAGAAGGGATTGTGATCTGTTTTGGTAGAGTAAATAACTGTGCTAAAAAACACTGATCCTAGCATCTATAGAAATTGGTCCCTGTGAGATGTCTTCATCAAGCAAGCAGTTCACATTTTCATGGTATTGCATTAATGTTTTGTTCCTGATGTGGAAATGCTGATTTTCAAAATCTCAGATACTCTAAAAGCTTCGGTTTATTGTTCTACACACTCATTTATTCAGAATTCTTTTTCAAAGTGAAACAGACTATTAGGTAGAATATACCAATAATGAAAAAGCATGCAGACACTCAGTTCTTTCCCATATTTCTTCCCAAAATATTTAAATGTCCTACAGCCATTCAGAAACTGTGGTTGGGGAAAAACAAACAAACAAAGAAAAAAAAACATTTCAAGAAGAAAAGGGAAGGAAGTAAAACTTTATAATGCTTTTTGTTGAAAGCAAAAAAAGAAATTGCAAATTGAAAAAAAATTACTTAAAAGGCCTCTTCCAGGTGAAGACACTTGAATTTAAAGTCAGAAAGAGCATCATAGTTTGAAAAAAGTTGATAAAATCCTACCCATCCAGTATTCAAAAACTCATTATTTCCTTAAATAATGGGGGAAAACAAAAGAAAAGATATAGGAGAAGGGTCTGTTTTTTTTAAAACAACCTTTTTGGGCTGTTTCTTTGCAACTTTAGAATAGACAGAAGTTGAACCATTGACTTCACCACATAGTTTTTAGCTCTTTGTCTTTCTTTAGCCAGTTGGGATTCAGGAAGTTTTCTACTGTTTTACTACCCTCCCCTGCCCCCAGTACCTCCTTCAATACTCAGTAGACACCAGGAGCCTCTAGCACTTTTTTTGACCTTGACAAGTTAACTGACTACCCAATGCTGAAATCACTTTTGCTGAATAGACTCATCTTTGTAAGTAACTTTAGTATTTCTTGAAGTTTAGAGACATCCTCAGCCCTTTAAATTAAAGCATATTTCCTGCTTTTGTTTTAAACTTTCTGAGTGCTGAAAGGCTCAAAATGGATAGCACTACTACACCAGGATGGATCTTTCTTTAGAGATATTTTTCAGAAATTGTTCTCCAAGGAAACATAGCTATGGGATTTTCTCATTGCTAGACTTTGTTTTTCCTTTCTCAGCAATGTTAGGTTGCTACTTAGATGTCATCAGCTTCACTGGTATAAGGAAGACAGAAAACTAGAGTTCCCACACGTTTGAAACTTTTCTTGAAAGTAGTATTTGGTCTCAAGAGTAAGGACTAAAAGTGCTTTGACTGTCTGACACAGTAAACAAGGAGCTTTTTTATCAGCACAAATGCACTGCAGTCATTCATGCCTTGCTTAGGTCCCTCTTAGTGAGGTTTCCAGCTTCGGGCTGCGTTTAATTTGCCTTTAGTCCACTGTCTTATGAGCTTATGGGTTCTATCACAGAAGGAGACAGATCCGATTTTCTTATCTCATAATTTAACCAGGCAGCAGACTAAATTGTTGAAGCTCTCACTTCAGCATTTGTGCTGCAACTGGCATATTAGGAGCACCGTGGGGAAGATGACTGTTAAAGGTCTCTCTCATTCGTGGCCATGCTGTGTTGCCAATACTCCTCCATCCACTATGATGGTACTCCGGCGCTGTCATCTGTGTTACCTGATTCCTCTGAACCCTGGATAGCAGTGCTGCTTTAAAGGAGATGGAATCAGCCTGAGCCTCGTCAAAGCAATGTGCAACAGTCATTCTGCCCTGCTTTGTCCCCTAGGATAACCATGCTAGTTTTCCAGACTGAGTTTGAACTGAGAGCTCTAGCTTTCTATGCTTTGGCAAGTGACCTTGGTCTCAGATGTCTGGAACCTGTGCTTCATGATTGTGTCCTGTTTATGACGTTTCCCTCTGGGTTTGTAAACATAGCAGTCTAGCCTGATCCCTCACAATTCTGCCCTCATACTGCCCATTCTAAACTCTTCTCTTTCCTTGAGCCTGCCAAAAGGTGGCTGGGATGCCTCATTATGAATTCTGGTTCAGTAGCCAAAATTTGTTGTATAGAGCACAAATCCCTGCCCTGCTATATCAATCTGTCATGTGCTTTCCCAGAGGCAGCTAAGTAGCATAAAGGATGGAGTGCTGGAGTTGGAGCCAGGAAGACCTGAATCTGACCTCAGCCACTTATTAGCAGTGTGACACTGGACAAGTCTTCTTTAGTTTCCTCATCTCTGTAATGGAGATAATAATAGCACCTACCTGCCAGGGTTGTTATGAGTATAAAATGAGAGTGTATTTGTAAAGCGCTTTGCAAGCCATAAAGTGCTATGGAAATGCTAGCTATTGTTATTATTGCTTGACACTAACTTTTTTTTTTAAATAGGCAGTTGGGATTAAGTGATTTGCCCAGGGTCACACAGCTAGTAAGTGTCAAGTGTCTGGTCTGAGACCGGATTTGAACTCAGGTCCTCCTGACTCCAGAGCTGGTAGTCTATCCACTGTACCACCTAGCTGCCCCTGACACTAACTTTAATTTAAAATATTTTTCTTTTTGGTGAGAAGTATGAAGCATGACAGCTGCAAAGTTGAGTGCATTGTGAGATTAAAAAATCCCCCGATATTCAATACTCCATACTTTCAGTGAATTCTAATTCTTTTCATGTTTGTTTGTGATATATTTGACTGGATGTATGTGTGAAGTTAATCAGATTTAAAATGTAAAAATAATCAATATAAATTCTTTTCCTTTGAGATAGCCCAGGTACCTTCACCTTATTTTGGTTCTGGTCCTTTCCACCTCTCCACTCCAAAATATGAGTAGTTAAAAACACTTATGTATATTCAGCATTTAACAGTAAGTCCATATTTGTACAATGATGTTTGATCCTCATAAATCTACCTAGGGTGTTTTGCTTAAATAATGTGTATTCTCAGACATCTCTAAATGGTTACTCAAGATTACGAAGAGAGTTATTAGGGGACACTGTGGAAGTGCCCATGAATCCAATAACCTTACCTGAAATATTTATAAACAGGAAAGGAAAGAGAAATTATGGTACCATGACCCACACCATTAGCTATTCTTTGCCTGAAGTTGAATCTGAACTTGAATGATTAATTGAGAATTTCCTGACTCTTTTGGTGACACCATCTTCATTTTGTTTGAACTTGGTTTGCATATGGTACAATATGCGGCCTTGCATTGAAGAAATCCTTTGTTTATGCAGAGCCCTGATCTATACCTCCTCTCTGAGGAGGATATTTTAAACCTGCATATTTACTCTACAGTGGGAAATGGCATTGTGGTCTCTCATTTTTGTGGTATTCGAAAGAACCAAAAATTAACCTCTTGATAACAATAAGAATCTAGGGATGAATTATTTCTAGGCAGTTATTGATAAAGGACAACCTCATTTATACAGCCCTAGCCTATGTGAGTTTCCACTTTGGCCCACATCACCATACAGATTTATCACCTGTCGTTATACAAGTAAGTACTACATACAAAGTGTTCCAGAAGTCTTTGTGCATTCTGAAGTCTTGTGCAATCTAAAGCCTAGATTGGGGCACCCTCTATTAATACTCTCTTTTATACTCAATGATCTCTCATAACTTTTTACAGTTATCCATTATTTAATTA